GGTCCCCATTATGGTCCTTTCCAGATTGTTTAAGCAGCTGAGAAGTCCTCTTGAGTAGAGGGATCTGTGCCCTGGCAGCTGACCCTGAACACAGCTTTCCTCTCACCAGCACTAAGCACCTGAGAGCCATTTCATGGTAGCAGAAGCTGAGATGGTCTGAACAGAGGGTGGGCTGATACAATCCCTGTGAGCTCTGGGGCTCAGGAAAAGGCAGTGTGAATATGTTTTGTTCTTGTATCTTCTTGATGGGCTGAGAGTTAGAGACAGGGAACTAAATTCACTCATTGAAAACAGATGCAACTAAGAATATTCAGGTGCAGATCAGCTGTGGGGGCCACATGAAGCAGACCAGAGGCCCACAAAGCCTTCTACCCTGGCTTTGGTAGGCATCGGCTGTTTCATGCAGACAAAACTTGCTTCAGGCACCCCTGGGAACATTTCCTTCCTGTTCTCAGAACTTCATTTTGATTTTCTTCTCCAGACCTCTTATCTGCTTAAATAAATATATTCTCCTAATGTTGGAAAATGTTCCTGAAAAATGGCTCCTGCTTTCTCCCACTGATGTCCTGTTGGGGAGAGCTCTCCTGGTTGTACCATCCCACTGTTCCATGCAGGACAGTATTTTCCAGTGTTGCAACATTTTCACAGCTCTCGACTTTTAGGAATAGGTGGTCTAAAATCAAGCAGCCTCCTGTATGTCAGAGCTCCACACCACATGGTCTGGTTCCACAGCCACTGGCCTCCTGCACTTACTGTTGTGGTACTGCTGTGGTTGGTGGAAACAAAAGCAGTGGCAGGTATCTGCTCATTGAGGGGAAGGATGGGTGGTTTTATGTGGGCTTGTCTTACATGCTGCACTGGAAAAAACTGTATCCCTGGGTTTGTGTTCCTGCTGCATTTTGAATTAGTTGGATAGGGTCCCTCTTCCTGGTCTTATTCAATCTTCTGTATACCTTTATCAGCTGCCCCCTTTGAAAAGATTCAGTCTGGGTTGCAGAATACGTGGGGGTTTTCCTCCCGTGGAGGTGTGCTCTGAGCTGTGCTGAGTTGCTTGTGTGTGGCCCACACCACTGCACTGCTGCTTGGGTCTGTAAAACAGAGCAGCAACAAAGCAAGCACAAAGGAGAGGTGTGTGTGAGAGGGTCTGGCACTGGTAGTCTTGGCCAGGGTGGGATAAAGGTCAAAGAAGAGATGGGAGAAAGAGAAGAAAGCAAAGAGAGGGGATGGGGTGAGCTCTGACACCGAGAGCAGACAGCACCATGGTCCGAAAGAAGGGAAGTGTGAGTGGCAGGGCCTCATGATCTCAGCACAGGAGAATTTGACTGCACTTTCCACTGTGGTTGCAAGCACCTCCATCAGCTTCCCTCAGTCATCCTGCTCCACGACTGCCTGAGATACTCATCCTCCAGCAGCTGGCATTGCCGGAATGTTACAGGGTGTTTTCCCTAGAGTGAGACTTGTGGGTCAGTGGGTTCGGCCTGTGAGTGGGAGCTGCTGAACAGTGGCTGACTCTGCTACAGAGTATCCAGTCCAGCCCATGCTGTGCATGGAGGGGGAGCAGTAAAGGCAAGCAGGGCAGGGAGCCCCTGAAACAAGAGTCTTTGCGCTGGACCGTCAGCCAGAGTGGGTAGAGAGGGGTTAATCCCACAGGCTTTGGAGGTGCCTGCACTCAGTGCTTTTGTAGTGTTTCCCTTTGGTGGTGGCAGCAGAGAAAATGCTAGTGTAGGTAGGGCTTAGTTCAGCCGGTGGCATTTCAGCTGCTTGCTGTGTAACCTTGCTTACAGCAGGCCTGTGCCACACAGCGCTTAAAATATCAGTCTGTCAGCACCTTGTCTACACAGGGAACGGTCGTGAGGAATAGACTCCACTGTTGAAGAAACAGGATTGAGGAGGTCAGGGAATTCCTCCTTCACAGAATCCAAAGTGATTTATTTTTTTACTGAGTCCAATTTTCCCTCCCCTCCCTGTCTGACAGTTTTTTTGGGGGAGGAGTGACAAGTAAAGGAGGCATCTTTATCCCTTGGGCTGGATTAGTCACGTTCGTCTCTGACGGAGCAACATTTCTCACTGTAGTGGCTTCTGTTTCAGTGGATCACTTATAGCCATTTCTAACAGAACAAACGTCAGTGTCTGCTTATTAAGAATGAATCCATCATCTTTTGAATAATTTTCCTTCTTTTTTCTCCTTTTCATCATTCTGCAGACACCTAAGAAGAAAGCAACTCCAGAAGAATCCTCTGATACATTGTATGAGAATATCTAACGGGGAAAGATATCTGACCCTGTGTGGACCAGACATCTTTCTGTATGGCAGAGCTACTCTCATACATCCCAGATGAGATGCAGATACATGCAGAGATCCACAGTGACTTCAGAGCACAACCACGAGGGACTCCTGAACCCCTGGCTCCTTCTAAACTGCCCTTCATTAACAACAGAATGCATCTGTTAAAATCCCTCCGGGCTCAGTCTGCACTGATGCAGCAAAGCTATTTTTCAGGAAGCTGTTTGATGCAAAAGAGAAGCTGCTTTTGTCAAGCACTTATTTTGGGAATGGGCGATCTAGGGAGGTTTCTCTCACCTGCCCCGCTGAAATACTTAGCTCTTGATCCTCTGCAAAGGATAGGACAATCCAGAGACCTCCCTGCTTGCTGGTTTGATCTTCTCATCCTCACCTGCAGCAGTCCATCTAATCTTGTGCTAGTGGCTTTCCCGATGTAGCCAATCAGGCCTTCATGCATAGTTTAACCAGATCCAAGCATCCACCTGCCCATTTTTGCTTTCTCAGGACCCCCACAGTGAAACATGCTTTTTCATAATCTGCTAATCCCATCAAGTAGTCACAGATGCCTGCTGTGACCATACTCAGACGACTCAAATCAGTGCCTCCCAGTAAATGCTTCCCCTTCAGCGATATCAGCAGTATATGGTGAGGACTGGATGCACTGACAGAGATAAAGCTGGAGAAAAGGAAAACAGGGAAAATAGCCATTACCAACGTGTCTCAGTGACAGTGCTGATTCCAGAACAAGAAAGACGAACGAGGAATTGGGAACCTGGTCTTGCTGGGGCTGCACAAGCCAGGCAGGTCTGGGGCCAGGTTCCAGCTCGGAGAAGTTCAAGCCAAGCTCCCTAGTTTCCTGTTCTTCTTGGCAATGGGCATTGTTATCGCTTGGGATTTCGAGTCTCTGTGGGAGCAGGCATGGTACCTCTGCCCCACCAAAACCAATAGGTTTGCCTTTGTTTCAGCTGGCTGGTGCACAAGGGCATAAGGCTCTTCTACTCCACCCCCATATGTTATTTGGCCAGAGAGTACAGTTCTGAAACTTAGAATGACTGGAGGGAGGAAGAGGGAGGCCCAGGAAGTCAATTTTCTGTCCAAGTTCTCTCTCCTGTCAGCTGGAACTTGCCCACCATTTCTGCTGATGCATATTCTAGTTCTGATAAGGAAGAGGTTACATTAAATATCCATATAACATGATCAAACCGGTGGATCAAAAAGCTGAGGCTGTTTTATCTCAGATTAAAATACAACAACAAAATAACAACCAAGCAAAGCCAACCCAAAATAAGAATATGCAGCATAACTTGAGAGGAATTGTAGAAACCTCTTTAAAGAAGAAGATCAAATTAAAATTGAGCTCCAGGGTCATAGGACCCTCTCTAGTTGAAGATAATGTCGCTATGTATCAGAGATAGAGGCTATGGAAAATGTCTCTGGGGCCTCCAGCCTTCCTATACTATGTTTAAAGAGATAATCCGCTTATTGCTTTGCTCTTTTTATTAGAAGAGATTTCAAACATGCAATTTGGACTTTCTTTAACCACAGGAAAATGCTTTTTCTTTTCCCAGTGCCGAGGAATTCATTTCAGAAAGAGCAATGAATAGGCAGCATGGCTTATTAGACCTAGTTTTTATTTGTTAAGTGATCACAACAATTATAAATAAACATTTTTGAAGAAAAAGATTTTGGGCTTTACTAGTATGACCAGGAAACATTTGTGTTCAGAGAAGAATTTATGGAGGGTTGTGCAGGTATAACAATTCCTTTCCTGAACAAATTTGAAGAACTGATGAGATGAATTATAAATATGTTGCAGTATGGCAATAAAATATTCAGCAGAAGCTGGTGGGCTAGATGAAAAGTAAAAACTTCCAGAATAATGATGCTTAGGTTTTGTGTTTTGTTTTTTAAATTTTATAAAAGCTAAAAATACTGGGTGCTACTGGAAATTTTCTGGCAAGGATCTCGGTTTGCAGTGAGTTGATTTGTCTTGTCTTTCTGTTACCTTTTCAAATAGCATCTTTCTTACATTTATGCCTGAACAATTCTATATAATAAATAGCTGAAGCTGTTGGAAATGAAACATGAGAGGAAGAACAGCATTTGGAATGGAAAATGCTATTCTAGAACAGTCAGTGCTAAAGTACTGGAAGAATCACACCGGGGGCTGATCCATTAAGTGAAAAAGTAAAGGTTTCCAAGAACCACTGGCAAGTCTGGGGATTTGGGCTGTGGGCCAAAGCCTGTCAGAGTTGGGGGGAGTCGCTGTGCTTGTGTTAGTGGCTTTTGGGCTGGCCTTGCAAGGAGGGGTAAAAGGCTGCTGGAGGAGAAAAAGGAAGTTTAATGCTGTGTAGCTACAATCTAATATCATTTCTTTAGCATCATGTGCCATAGGCAGCCACGGCAACAACAGAGTGTGTGAGGGAGAAAGGCATAAAGCAGAAGGCTGTGAAAGCAGGGATGTTTTTAGATGATATGGAGTTTTCCAAGGAGGTATGTGCCTGCAGGCACAGGTAGGAGAGTCTAGGAAATACAATTCATGTAGTATTGGTATAGCGACTTCATAGCAGAGCTTTGTTCAGGAAAAAGGCAGTCACTTGGTCTTTTTGTCTCACCTGGCTCTGTGGCTCATAAGAATAGGTGTAGAAAATGAGTATTACTAGCAAGAGGAAACAAGTTCATTTTTAAGTATTGAGCAATTGGGGGGGGATGGGAAGGAAATTAAGGATTGGCTCCCCCAGCTCCACAAAGGAGAGGAATGGTGACTGTCTTGTGTTCACTACACATTTTGCTTTAAACTGAATGCTGAGAATGGATTCTGCTTACAAACTGTTTCCCTAAGAGCCTCAGCTCCACTTGCTTCCCCCAGCATGGTGCTGTTAGGCACAGGGCATGCTCTGTGGTTGTGGTGGTATAAATCTTTGATTCCCAGGTGTGGAATTATCCTTTCTATTGACAGAATTTCAGGGAAGTGGAGACCCATATTCAAAGTAAGCAGTGGTGTGAGGTGGAAATGCACTGCCTGCTTTCTTCTAAAGGAGGTGCCCTGTTAGCACTAGGATTCTGTGCCCTCTTCACCAGGAGTGAGCCTTTGGTCATGAGAGATGCAGTCTCTCACCATGATCAGCTTCAGTGTGCTGTCTTAGCTGGCATTGCTGCAAGGAGTGTTGGTGACACTGGGGTCATCTATTCCCTTTATAGCAACTCCTTCACAATGCTTTACAACAAATCTGAGTTTGAGAAGGCAAAACCCAGGGAGCACTGGAGTGGTTCATTGGTTTGTTGGTTTCGTCCTTTCCTGCAGAGGACTAGCTCTTGCATGGGTACTGTTGTGGTATGAAACCTGCCATCTGTATTTTGCCTTTATCTGTAGGCAAGAAAGACCTTACTGTGGTGGATAACAACAATGCAGCTGATGTCCAAGGTGTTGTACTGCATCGTTTCTGTCTTCTACTCCTCTTCAGCCTTCTTAGGGGTGTCACTGTTGCAAATCATCTCTGAATACCCAGCTAGGGCTGGTTCTCTATCAAGGGAGGTGCTTGACTGAACAGTACCCAAGAGAAATGGTTATTATGGCTCTGGTTTGCACCGCTGTCCCACCCAGCAGTGCCCTAAGGGTGTGCAAGTCTGGGCCAAGGGCAGGAGTGTCTTCTTCCAGCTGGGCTGTCTCTCGAAAAGACCTGGCGTTTCTTCAGGCCTTGGCCATGTAATATCATGACCCTGTGAGACAAGGATTTAGGGAAGGCAGTGAGTGAAGCCACCAGATGGTGCCCTAGGTCCTCTCTGCTCCCTTCCCTGTCCCCTGCCTGCCCACATCCCCCGCCAGCCTCCTTGGTAACCCCCAGACCACAGACTCAGGGGTGGGCAGCTGCAGCCATGCAGAACGTCCCCAGCCATGACTCTCTTCTACCCCTGGGGTTGGTGACTCTGGCACTCCTCACAGCTCTGTGCCATGGCCCAGGTGCCACCAGCACCTGTGAAGAGCTGGGGACAGGAGAGCTTCCCCTCCTTTGCATCCATGAAGTCTGGAGCAATGGCTTCATCCGATGCCAAGTCTTGGCACGGGGCACATGTGAGGGACAGGAGAGTGGCTGCTGACACCACTGTTGGGTCAGACTGGCGTCTGCAATGCAAAATTGGCCAGATGTTAGGGGTTGCTTGGAGCTGTCACCACTTTCTTGCACCGTTTGGAAATGGTATCTTATCTTGGGTTCAGGAAAATTTACTATGTGTCTATGGTGAAAAAATCCTTTGTACCATATGCTGCTTTTCTTCTTTACTGTGTCAGGAAGCTGATGAAGGCTGAGATACCACTCTTGCCATGTGTGGGGATTCTGTGGTGGTCAGGATTTGCTATGCACAGTGAAGTATCATTGAGAGTTTATAAATAAAAAAGGAGAAGGTCAGAGATCACCAGTGATCACCGAGGGAAGAGGAGAATGTGAACCTTCAATGTCTTCTCTTGCTTGAATCTGGAGGAAGGCAGTCCCCACTTGCTGTCAGGGATGAAATGTTTTTCTTTGTTAATGATAAAATAGAAATGCAGGTTACTATTAGTAACTAGTATGTTACTGGGTCCTGCACTATTAATAACCAGGCCTGTAAGCTGCCAGACTGTGTTACGAGCTGTGGATCTTCAAGGTTCACAGCATCAGTGCTGCGACAACACAGTCACCTGGGGACAAAGCATGATGGTGCTTTGACAATACCAGACAGGTTCCTGTGAGAAGTGACACGGGAGGACAAGCTGTCAGCCTCTGAGGCAAGGAATGTTTTGGCAGCGGGGGGGGGGGGGAGGGAGCCTTTCTCCTCACTAGACGATGAACCTCTCCTGGAGCTCCTCTTTTCCTTCAGCTTTTTGAAATATGTGGGTTGTGTTGTATCGCTCTGGGCCACATGAAGATTTGGGTATCCAGCTGGTAGGGCCAGGCAGGTCAGCCACCCTGCTTTTAGGAGTCAGAACGTAATTATCCAAATTG